AATATGACCAATCGGTGACCTCAATTTATCCCAAAGTGAAACGTCACTTACTTGCAAGGGGTGGGGGCTTGTGTGAGAGAAGCGGAGCATTTCATCTATAGCATCTTAGCTAACGCGTCTGTATTTTGCATCGCAATGCAGTTGTTGGCAGTTGTGACCGGGCGTGGAGGGTGTTAGGATGGTGAGAAGCAGAGCATGCTCTATTCACAGAAGGGGAGCTGTTGGCCAGGTTAATTATTTTTGCACCATTAACTCTAAAATAGTTATTGAATCAAGTGTTTACTTGTGTAGGTAAAACTAGATGTTTAACAACCTATTAAAATACACCAGAATGCAGGAAATGGCATCTATTCAAAATTGTCTGGAGGAGGACCCCCCCCCCCCCCCCACCACCACCACCACCACCACCAGTGTGCTCAAGCAAAGAGACATTGTCAGCAATGGGGGCTAAGCACCCCTAAAGGTCAGATTCTAGATTAGCCCCTGTAGTGAACGCTTCATAAACATTCACACAATTAAGTTATGTAGATGTCAGGATCTTTAGACCCCACCCTGGGTATTAAATAATGTGGGTGTGGGGGTGGGGGGTGGGGGGGTTTAGGTCTCACAGAGATGGAGCTGCTGTGCTGCACTGCTTCGAGCAGAAGTGTCTCTCGTGAAGGAGCCATTAGAGCAACATTTCCTCTCCTCCTGTCCAGTGATGATATCTCTACACACTGTGAGCGCATCGTTAGCAACAAACACACAGTCCTGACTGAAGTCCAGAGCACATTGTGATGCATTATGGGAAGGTCTGCAGCTGGCAGGTAACATCACTCCTCCGTGTGCGACTGCCTGAGGAGGGAGGGAGGCGAGCCACATGCTGGGAGAAAAGATGCCCACTATGTTTCAGCTGGGGGTGCTGTGAGCATGTTTATATTTAAACACCCACATTAAGAGAAAGAGAAAACCAAATACAAAGCAGCCAAATACACCTGCCAGTGAAAAGTGTCTTCTCTAAATGTGGCTGTGGAACAAACTGCTACAGATTCAGGACAAACAATTGTACAATCGTGACCTAATGCTGGTCTGCTCGCCTTTCTGTGGGTTTAAAACAGCTGTATCTGGGTTTTAAACAGCTGTATCTGGGTTTTAAACAGCTGTACCTGGGTTTTAAACAGCTGTATCTGGGTTTTAAACAGCTGTATCTGGGTTTTAAACAGATGTATCTGGGTTGTAAACAGCTGTATCTGTGTTTGAAACAGCTGTATCTGGGTTTTAAACAGCTGTATCTGAGTTTTTAAACAGCTGTATCTGGGTTTTAAACAGCTGTATTTTGGTTTTAAACACCTGTATTTGGGTTTTAAACAGCTGTATCTGGGTTTTAAACAGCTGCATTTTGGTTTTAAACAGCTGTATTTTGGTTTTAAACAGCTGTATTTTGGTTTTAAACAGCTGTATCTGGGTTTTAAACAGCTGTATTT